ATTGTACGTAAAGTGGCTTCGGCAACAAGCACAATAAGCAGATATAAGCATAGATTGAGGGAATTCATCACATAGCCTTATTCTATGCTTCAAAGTTGCTTAAAAAATAAACGTCAGGGGCAATTATATTATATAGTAAATATTTTATCAAATTCAAGGCATGTCAAATTCAAGGCTTGTGTTACGGTTGATGTGAAAGTATTTGTATGAGTTAACAACTTTTTTACCGTTTAATAATATGACTGAATTTGCCTCTTGGCCGATAGCGCTGAATACTACTTACATGTTGTGAAATAGAAAGTTGTTACTAAGTTTTGTATGAGTTAAATTACCGTTATTATAATTATAGATATGTTTCATATTTAAATTACTTCGGAGAAAGACATATAACAAAAATGTTTTTTCGAAAAAGAAGGATTTTTTACATCGCACATATAATTTTAATACGAAGTTAATAAAAAGAATGAATAGATTAATAAAAAATTAAGAATAAAAATTTGAAAGATTAAATTTTAGGAATAAATATTTGAAAGATTAAAAACTTACTACTACTATTTTTAACTAATGTTTTTGTTTGCAATAGAGAGAAAAATACAAAACCTTAATTTTAAAATAAAAACCCTAAATAGAAACAAAGAATAGCGTCAAAAGCATTAAATTTTGATCGACATTTTTTATTTTTTATCGCTTTCCTCGGGCATAAGGTGCGATCGTACCTTTCTTTCCTGTTTCAACTTTAGTCTTTCCTGATACAGTTTTAAAATTTCCTGATTCGTCTTTAGATTTTTCTGATTCCAATTTAAAAGTTCCAGATTTAACTTTTAAATTTCCTGACTCAACTTTAAATAGTCCTAACCCAATTTTAGAACTTCCAGACACAACATTTGAGTTTCCTGTTTTAGAACTATTTAATCCCTTCATTTGTTGCAATTCGCTATATTCAACAAACAATAGAAGTAAAACGAAAGCCATCGTTTTACTGAGACGTAATTTTTTCTTTTGTCGACTTCAATATACTACTGGTTTTATATTTTTAGCAATTGTTTTGATTTTATATTTTTTATATTTTTAGCAATGTTTTGCTTTTTTATTTTAACAATGTCTTGATTACAAATTTTAGCGATGTCTTGATTACATATTCTAGCGATGTCTTGTTATATATACTACATATATATTAGTGATGTCTTGGTTTCATATTTCAGCGATGTCTTGATTTAAAATTTGAGCGATACTTTGTTTCGTTTTAAAAATTCTGTCGTTCTGTATTTATTATCGCTTTTTCATATGTCTTCGAATTCGTGCGTTATCAACATTGTGTGTTTTGTTGTTTTAATAAACTGTTTGTTTGATTTCTAATACTTTTGTAGACAAGTAATTCTTTTAAAAATGCAATTGTAACACTTTTTTATTTTACTGAATTTTTTTTTATATATAAACTTTTTTTGTAATAAGAAATAATTGGTTTTTTAGTAAATGTTTGTTTCTTTTTAAAAAATTTTAATAAAAAAATATATATTAGTTGTGTTAAAATAATACATTAATTGACAAGTAAACTAACGATTTTGGTATTTTGGTATTTTATACTATAATTGGTTTATTTAAAAACAAAGGTTTGTCTGCAAAAACTAAATTTTTGAAAAGCATTTATAAACTGTCATTAACTTGTGATAAGAAACTTGCAAAACGATTTATTTCAAAAAAAGACTTACGCAACAGCCCCTCGCGAAGGGAGCATTCTGAAACGTGCTTTACGGAAATGACTCAAAACTAGATGAAATTCTATTATTTATTGTTTAATTAAAAATAACGTTGTTAAATGATTTTTTTATCATTTATAAATATATTCCCTGAAGCATTAAAGATGCCAAATTGAATTAATGATCGTTGATTTACAAGACACATTGACAGATTTGCTTTTAGCATAAAATCAAGCAATTTTTTATGATATAGATTCAATGTTATAGATTCTTGCCTTTTTATTGTATCAACACAGCTGTAGTTGCCTGCTTCCATTTCTTAATTTTCTTCTAAATCTAAATTGTGAAGCACATTTATTTCTATCATTTCATATTGCTATTTGATGGTCTAAATATTTAATGAACCGATTTTAAATGCCAAGTTATGTTTCTTGTTAAATTGTCAGACTATTTTAATTTCAATTTACTATTTGAAAAAAAAAAACACATAAAAAAAATAAAATATGAAAAATTTTTTTGCACTGCTGCATAACAATAGCTGCGTTTTCACCAATTCACCATTCGCAAACTTTATGTTGTAACAAATTCAATTAAAATTTTCTCCTCTATTGTCAGAAAAAGAAAGGAGTGATGGATAGTGTGTCCTGCGTGGGGCCATGTTCGACAGCACCTCACATTGTAATCTGTGACAAAATTTACTAGATTTTTTTAAGGTAAACGATTTTTAAAACCTTTCTTGCTTGTTTTAATTACTATCTGCTTCAAGTACTAAACATAATTCAGTAAAATTATGTTGTTTCAGCAAAAAAAAAAACCCTTTCAGGAATCGTTTTTTATGGCTTATCTGGATAAGTAGATGCATCCGGGGTAAAACAACCAAGACATTGACCGCCAGGTTTCAAAGTCATGGTAATGTGTTGCTTTTTGATAATAATATGATGTAACTGTTTGAATCATTTAACTATTGTTTTTTTTAAACCTTTCTTTCCATTAAAGTAAACGCCAATATTATATGCATATGAAAGTTTTGCAATTTTGTTTGCATCCACCAAGACATTTTTCCTCACTGTCGGCAATCACAAGCAAAGTAAGAGATTTGTAAAATCCTGAAGAGGGGTGAAAAATCTTGCTTCAATTAAATCTTGCAGCTAACTTGTAGAAATTGCTGAAGTTGCGACAGGTAAAATCCAAAACCTATAAAGTAAAACTAGGTTATGTTTATTTTTATTAACTCATCATTTGATGCTCAATAAAACAATAATATATATAATCACAATAAAAGATGTGTTTTTTATTGACTTCTAATCTAAAATCGTGTTACAAGGAAAGCGTAGATGGTTAACTTTTTCTTTAGAAGCTTCTTAGCCAACAATATTTTTTCATTATCTTGTTTTAAAGTAAAGGAAGCATTAACTCGATGATAGTTTTTGTTGTTGTTTGTTTGTTAAAAGGAAGCATTAACTCGATGATAGTTTTTGTTGACAGGAGAGCTAGAAGAAAAATTTTCTTGATATTCTAATTGTGTCTAATTCTTTATTGTCTTCTATTAAAATTGTAAAAAAAGCTTTAAAAATTTTCGACTTTTAAAAAATCTCTTAAAATTTCAATTTGTCTAATAGGTTTTAAATTATTTTTCAGCATAGTATACAAGCATATTAAATCCTATTGAAATTATGATAAAACAACTGTTAAAAAAATGCGCATTTGACCGCAACTCGCACTAGAATTAACATTGTTTTAATTGTGTTCCGTAAAAAAATTTCACCCATCCATTTATCAAGTCCCCTTCCTACCCCATTTATTAGATCTGAAATAAAATTTCTATCCCCTATTTTTTATTTCCACGCCCTTGGATCAAGTTTTTTTGAGTAATGACAATAGATATATTCAGGGCCGTCCCGAAAAAAAAAAGGTAGGCATAAGGGCCTAGACACCCCCTATGCCTATAGAGGGTGTCCTAGGCCTATAGAGGGTGTCCTAGGCCTATAGAGGGTGTATATAGGCCCCTATGCCTACCTTTTTTTTTTTTAGATAAGTTGGTGGGTAAAAATTTTTTTTTGGCTTTAGTTACCAAAAAAATGATAACTCACCCCCTTTAAAATTTATTCAGGACAGCCCTGGATATATTAACTTATTATTGTTTTTTTTTAATAGTTTCAGCAGTGTTATCAAAACATCATTTGAGTAAGGAATCAAAGCATCATATAGAAAAAATAACCTGTTTTTAGTTGAAACAGCATCACTATTAACAAAAAAAGAAAGTCTAAAGAAATATTATGAGCAAATCTTTTATTATTAAAACCTCATAAAAAAATCTAATGTCCCTCCTTCTCCACCAGAAATGTGCAGAAACTAGTTTCTGCACATTTCACGCAGTTAACTGCACTGCAGGTAGGATCTATGGAAAATAATAATTATAAAACATCAAAAATTTGAATTAGTCCAAAAATATTATTTGCATTTAATTTTTTGTAAAATACAATAAAGGGCATATTTAAAAAAAAATGAGGTTTTACATACTTTTTTAGTTTCTAAAAATGCAAATTTGCGCTTCAAAACTTTGTCAGATAAAAAATATATTTTAGGAAACATTTTTAAAATTTAATTTTTACATAAGAATACATTTTTTTCTAAGCTTTAAGTATGAAAAAAATTCTCGTTGTACCCAACTGAGTAAATTTATTTTTATTAAATCATATGGCTAAATTTAAAGACAAAATTTTCAACCGATATTTCTTGAAGCTAGAAGTATCGTAATACCGAACTATGTTTACCGAAACCAACCATACCGAAGTCCGGATTTTGATTGGAAACAAAATTTGTAATAAAACCTAATAACTTTTTGATATACCTATTCAAATGTTCTTAAATATTTATTATAACAATAAAAATTTAATCAATAGTATTATAAAAGTAAATTAGTTTTAATTAATTGTATTAATTTAGTCAGAAAGTTAACATATAAAAAAAAAGTTTTGAATCTCTATAACTTAGTGTAAATAATATAACTTAGTGTAAATGATTATGCCTAACATAGGATCATAGAACTCTATTTTTATGTTAAATAATATCTATTAAAAATTTCATAATATTTTAATCAATTTTTACATTATATTATAGACAAAATTTACTTACAACAATCCCATCATATAGTCTATATATTAATAATTATGTATTTTTTTAATAGTAAAATTTTTATAAATTTCATTAAAGTAAAGATTTTTATTAAATAAAAGTCTTTATGATAAAAGATATAAATTGTATCTTTAAAGTTTTTATTTAATTTCCTATGTGTTTTTGATTATTTCATTGTTTACTTTTGCTAAAGTGACATTTTTATGTTGTAAATAATAAAATATACTAAATAAATAATGGCAAGTAGCAGTAAAAAGACATCAGAAACCTCAGGAGATCATTTCAGACGAACTTGGGATAAAGATGAATTTGAGGAAAAAGCAAAATCTAGGTTAAAAGAAGATCTTGCTCTTCTTGAAGATGATAATGACAGAAAAAGTAGGTCTGATCCTCCAGTTCAAAGGGAAAAACTAAAAGCACGTCATTATACAGTTGATTTAGATTCAAAATTAGGGAAATCTATTATTATTACTAAAACTACACCTTTGCAAGAGCAAGGTGGCTATTATTGCAATGTTTGTGACTGTGTTGTAAAAGACTCTATAAATTTTCTTGATCATATTAATGGAAGAAAACATCAGCGTAATATGGGAATGTCCATGAAGGTAGAGCGCTCATCGTTAGATCAAGTAAGAGATAGATTTGCTTTGCTTAAAAAACAGAAAGAGCAGGAAGAGAAAAAAAAAGAATACGATTTTGATGCTAAAATAAAAGAATTAGAGGAAGAGGTTATATGCATATATTTTTTGCTTTAACGACATTTTATTTTATTATTTTAAATATTTCATATATATATATATATATATATATATATATATATATATATATATATATATATATATATATATATATATATGTATATATATATATATATATATATATATATATATATATATATATATATATATATATATATATATATATATATATATATATATATAATGTTACTGTATTTTACACATAGATTGCTCAATGTTCTTGAAGAACAGAGCAATAATTCATAAATTAGATAAGTGTTTATACTAATTTTAATATATATATATATATATATATATATATATATATATATATATATATATATATATATATATATATATATATATATATATTTATATTTATATATATATATATATATATATATATATATATATATATATATATATATATATATATATATATATATATATATATATATATATATATATATATACATACATACATACATACATACATACAAACAGTTATCGATTTCAACATGTTCATTTTTTCATAGTCCTAATTTATCTGAATTTAAACATAACTTTATTCTTATATTGCCATGCAGATTGTTGTCATCGATTTTAATATCAGGCATTTTTGTCAAAAAACTTTTCAATATTTGCCCAACAGATGAGTTCAAAAAACGCCAATAAAAACTGTTGTTTCTTGTTTGTCTTAAACTTATTAGAAGCATGTTTGGAAAAAATTCTTCACTTTTTTGGAAAATTTATCTTTTACTCTCGTATAAGATTCTTCAAAATTTGATATTTATTTTTAATTATTAAAGGAATAAAATTATCTTCAAATAATGTTTTAAATTATTATTATTATTATCATCAAACTACAACGACATTGTTGTGAGAAATAGCTATATGAGACATCGTTGTGAGAAATGGCTATATAAAGACGATTTATGGTAGTTGTAAATATGCATTTTTTATATAATTGTCATAATTGTTTTTAAAAATGTTTGTTGTTTTTGAGTTTTGACAGTATACTGGCAGTTGATTCCATTGTTTGTCTATCCTGTTTGTGAAGAAGTTGAACCGGATATCAGACTTGTTTTGTTCTCTGGTTAGAAAGTTTTGTTGTCTTGTGCCATGATTGTGTTTTTCTTGTTTTAAACTAGAATATAAGTTTATTTTATTTAGTCCATTTTTAATTTTGAATTGTTTTATTTGGTCTCCTCTTAATCGTCTTTTTTCCAGTGTTGTCAGACCAAGGCAGTGGATCTTTTCCTCAAATGTTTTACCACTAACTTCTTGGACTAGTTTAGTTGCCCTTCTTTGGACTGATTCAATTGCTTTGATATCTTTTAATTTATTCGGATTCCATACTGAAGCACCGTACTTCAAATGTGGCCTCACCATTGACGTGAAGAGCATATTAAAAGTGGTAATGTTAATGTATTTGATTGAATTTTTAAGCTGACCCAATATACAATTTGACGTTGCTATTACGGAATGAATTTGCCGGTCCCATTTTGAGTCAGCGCTGATGATCACTCCTTGGTCTTTCTCAAACTCTACCTTTAATAACTGATGCCCATTTACCTGATAATTGTACTTTTGATTTGATTTCCCAATGTGAATTACTTTACATTTGCTCTCATTTAAAGACATTTGCCATGTTTTGCACCATTTTGATATAATGTTTATATCATTTTGTAAACTGATCGAATCGTTTTTATCTTTTATGATTCCAATCATTTTTGTGTCATCTGCAAAAAGTTTTGGATAATTTTTGATTTGTGATGCCAGGTCATTTATGAAAATTACAAACAGTAATGGCCCTAGAACCAAGCCTTGAGGAACCCCACTAAGCACTTGAAGCCAGTCTGAAATTGTGTCTCCTAGTATGACACGCTGTTTTCGATCTTTTAAATAGTTAATTATCCAGTTCAGCATCTTATTTACTATTCCCTATGCTATTAATTTTCTTAAACAAAGTTGTGTGTGTGGTACTTGATCGAATGCTTTACTGAAGTCTTTAAATATTATATCAACTGAAATGCCGTTGTCGGCAGCTTTTGTAATTAGGTCAAATGATTCAAGCAAGTTTGTTGTGCATGATTTTCCCTTAACTACGTTGTGTTGATCCTTTGATATTAAATTATTTGTTGAAAGATGTTATACTATTTTGTCCTTTATGATGCTCTCCATTACTTTACAGACCACTGATGTTATGGAAATGGGTCTGTAATTTGAAACATCCGAATGACATCCACTCTTGTGAATTGGCTTAACATTTGCTAGTCTCAATAATTCCGGTATTTTACCACTATTAAACGATAACTTAAATAAGAACTGAATTGGGTTAGACAATGAATCAAAGCAGCTAGACAGTACATGAGGATGAACCCCGTCAACGTCACATGATTTATGTTTGTTTAATTCTCTTTTTTCAAACCACTTCCAATGTAAAAATATTGTCAGTATTGTCGTCACATTTGACGTTAGTTTGTATTGGAAATTCTGGAAGCTCATTTAAATTTTCTTTGCAAAAAGACTCCTGAAACTTTAGATTAAACATTTCAGCAATGCTTCTATCATTAATCAAATTTCCATCATTATCCAAGAGAGTTTTGATACCAACTTTGATACTTCATTTTTTGTTAATGTAAGAATATTGAAGGACAAATTTGTTCAAAAAAATTGAAGGACAAATTTGTTCAAAAAAAGATTTACTTTGTTGTAGAGGTATATTATTACTTGTGAATCTTTTTGTGAAAAAAAGTTTTTTTTTTTTTTTTTTTTTAAATTATTCACCTCCCTAAGGCCCGAGGGGGTCACTACAGTTGAGGAGGCTACTCATTTTTTTTTTTTTTTTTGCCTGATTGTGTACAAAATACATATTCATCTATGGTAATTCCTTATTGAAAAAGGTTCCAGACGTTTTGCACATTTTGCACAGTCTAAATTTAAGAAAAATAAATGGAGTGTTAAGGCAAGTCAACTAACTTTCGATATCTTAAAAGCTTTTTGTATTTAGCTGAACAGATAGTAAAATGATTTAAATACAAATAAACTGTTCCTGTTGCTTGCATTTGACAAAATATGTGCATTAAAACTAATTCTTTAGATTTTCCTTATAAATAAGATTTGTAATTTTACATGGAAATTGTTTACTCCTTTCTGTCTTTCCCCACCAAAGTTTGTAATTGTATTATCAGCTGTGAGTGAAAATACTTTGAACTTCAAATTGTATTCATTTATTATCCTGTAATAGGTGTTGTGACAAAACATTAACAGTTTCACCTTCAATTCTAGTTTTAAAGTATTTAAATGTCCTTGGTAACATGCATTACTAGAAATTGTGATTTTAGACATCAGATAAAATTATTAGAAATCTTGCATTTTTTAAGTCTACTGCAGGGACTTTATCTCTGTTTTTTTTTAAACTGCTTTAAAATAAATAAATTCACTTGTGCAAACTATATTTCTATAACTTTGTTTATAAATTATGGTATGATATGAAAATGTTTATTTATTTTTATTTTATTTTTTTCGATAATAAATAATTACTTTTAATATTGCATTTTTAAAAATGTTTGATATTAACCAATTTCTTTCTTATCTCAACATTTGTGTAAATGAATTAAATTATGTTAAATTTTTGAATGTTCAAAATGAATTCTTCTTAAATTTCTAATTATGTTTTTGCAGCTACAAATGATTTTTATTTTAAAAAAATTAGCGAGTAACAAATAAAAAAGTTATGTTAATTTATTTATTTTATTTATTAAAAGTTTATTAGTTTATTACATTATTTTTAAAAATATATTCCTGTAATATATATTGTTTATTAAAAAAATATATTGCTATGATTTAACTTGCCTTATAAAAAAAAATGTTTAACTTATGTTTTGTGCAAAATTTTGATGCAGCTGATTATTTAAAATTTAATTTTGAGTAAAAAAAAAATGTTTAGGAAAGAAAACCGAAAAAAACAATTGCAGTAAAAATAAGCAAATTATTTTTTAAGAACCAAATAAATTTGACAGTTAAGTTAAACCCAAGCATTAACTTTAATTTTAATAAACTTAAATATATTTTTTAGTTCATAATTAAATTATATATTTTAATTTATTAAATATTTTAAATTATTATTATTTTTTTTTATTAGAATAAAATTATATATTTTTATTAAATTAGATTATGACCACGCAAATACTATTTGATTTTAAAAACTTGACCACAGCTGTTAATGTTTTAAAAATTTGTATATATTTTGAAAATGCGCTGAAAGAATTATTTCAACTTAACTATGAAGAAACTTAAAAAAATGCTTATCATCAAAAAGCAATTCTTCAATTCAAACTCTTCCTAAAAAAAATAACAAAAAATAAAATAAAAATATAATAAAATAAAAAATAAACAAAAATAAAATAATAAACTATAATGATAAGATTTTCTAAATTACATTTGGAATAAATAACTTTGAATCTGTTACCTTTTTCTAATGTTTTTATTATATATCTATATGTGAAACCCTTTTTAAATAAAGTAGCAACTTTTAACAATTGTTTAATAAATGCCCACATTTAAAAATTAAAAAAAAAAAAAATTCTTAACAATTCTTCACAGTAACGCAAACAAAAGAAAAAATTATTAAATTATTTATTTAAAAAGTTGATATAATTTTTTTTTATTTAAAGACATTTATTATAAAAAATATATGCTTATATAAATTTAAAAAATATATTATTCATTAACTTTTATAAAAAATCATTAGCAGTGATTTGTTACTTTATTTAAATGCATTTAAATAATTTAAAAACATAAGTAAAGATCAAAGTTATTTAATTCAAACAACTTTCAAAAAATTTTGTCTTTTTGTTTTTTTTTTCAACAAAATCATTCTTTTTTTCGAGTGAATTAACTTTAATGATTCCTATATAAGGTTTAATAAAAAAAGACCGTTGCTGAAAATCATTTAACTTTTTACAATAATCCTTAGGCCATATGAA